TGTCAAATAAATACAAACTTTAAAAAAAAAAAAAAAGAGTCCTCTTACAATCTAGAACATAACTACCCTGCCTTAGGATCCTCTTTGAATATTTCTTTCCAACACAACACCCCAGGGCTGGATGAGGCCTGTAACCACAACAGAACAGGCGCTGCCAAGGCAGGGTGGCCTGGAGGTCCGAGGCTTTGGGACCCACAGTTCCTGAGCAGTCCCATTCAGTCTACCCCCTACCCCCGGTCTAAGTGAAAAGAAGGAGCGCAACTGAACATGCAGCTCCTTATAACTGAGGCCACTTGGGTCCTCGCAGCCTCCTCCTCCCTGGTTGGGACCTCTACATCCTGGACAAACCTGAAGCCCCATGGTGCTACGGTCCCTCTCTCGCACCTTTTTAAAAAGATTTTAGAGTCGCAGGCTCCTCTGGCTGAGCCAGCCAGGGGACCCTATCTTGCGCACTCTTTACCACCTCCTCTGTACCCTAACCCTGTCTGTGCTAAAACAGATGTCCACCTCGAATGAAAAAACCAAAGTTCTAGCGGGGGCCTCGTTGCTCCGAGTTCCCAACAAATAGCTGGGCTTCCGTCTGAGTGTCAGGCTAAGCGGCTCGCATCTTCTGCTGCATCCCACAGGGTGCAGGGAGCCCGCTTTCCAGCTCCACGAAAGTGGTCTCACCTCAGACGCCGCCATCTTGCCTACCGCCCCCGACAGCCTGGGCTCACCCAGGAGGGTGCCCGCGCCTGCGCGGACCGCGGAGGGGCGTGGCGAAGAGCGCGGGGGCGAGGCCTCCGCGGAGGGCGGGAGGAGGCGCGGGGCAGCGACGCAATGCGCCCCTAGTGGCGGGGGTATTTGCGCCTCTGCTCTGTAGCTTCCGTTTCCACGGTTACGGCGGCGCGAGGCTGTGTGTCCCAGGTAAGATCCGGGTAGAGCGGAAACATGATAACTGAGGGACGGAGGGCAGCAGGGCTCAGGGGAACGGGAAAGTAGGGCCTGGGCCCGGGCTCGTGGGAGGTCTAACCCTCCCCCCGCCCTCCGCGTGTACCCACAGTGGGCTCTGGTTAGCTCTGCCCCACCATTCCCCTAGGATGCTGTCCCGCCCACAGGTGTCCTCCGGCCCCAAGAACTGCCCTGGACACCTCCCCGCCCCTCCCTGCGTCTCCCAGCTGCTGACTTCACTCTTCTCTGCCCTTAAGTCACTGACTTGCAGCTGTTTGTGCGTGCCCGGGAGCTGCACACACTTGAAGTGACCGGCCTGGAGACAGTTGCTCAGATCAAGGCAAAAGTAATAGTGTATCCCTGAGCTTCCCCAACCCATGTGTCCTTTGCCTGGCTTTCTGTGACTTCCTTAGAGAACACTCTTGACTCTTCCTTTCTTCCCTAGGCCCATGTCGCCTCCTTGGAGGGCCACACCACCGAAGATAAAGTAGTGCTTCTGGCAGCTTCTTCCCTGCCGGATGAAGCCACCCTGGGTCAGTGTGGGGTAGAAGCCCTGGCGACCCTGGAAGTGGTTGGCCGCATGCTAGGAGGTGAGTGGGGCTACGGAGGCCAAACTGGTGCCATGGGGCTATTTATGATCCTTAGACTTACTTTGTTTGCCTTTCACAGTGTCTAACGTTTTTTGCTTTAATTTACAATATCTAAAAGTCAGTTGATTTTGTGTGAAAATACAATATCTGGCTTTGCTTCAAAAATTGGGAAGATGGGGCCTGTGTTCCCACATACCAACAGTCCGCCCCAGCTGAGTAGTGTCTGCTCCCTTTGGAAGGCTTTATAGTTTGCTACAGTTTCCACTCCTCCCTCTTCAAAACCAGTGTCAGTTACCATTTATCATCAGGCTTGTGCTGTTGTTTCTCTTGTAGTAAAGAAAAGTGAACTCTCTTTTTGTACCTATGTCTCTATCAAAAATGGGAAAACGAAAGATGGATCCAGAGCGTTGCATGTTTCAAGAATAGTGGGAATGAGCATCTTTCTTTGTGAAAGTTAAGAATAGCCCTAAGTGTTTTATATGTAACCAGACTTTGTCTGTATCAAAAGAATACAACTTAAGATGCCATTATGAAACAAACCATAGTGAGAATTTTAACTGGTATACAGAAAATATGCGTGATGAAAAACTTAATGAACTAAAAAAAGGACTAAACTTTCTTCCGCATTTATCATCAAATGCAAATAAAATAACCGATGCTGCTGTGAAATGCAGTTATGTCATAAGTGGAAAAATTGCCCGGGCATCAAAACCTTTCACAGATGGTGAGTTTATAAAAGACTGTCTATTGAGTGTGCAGAAATCATGTGTCCAGAGCAGAAACCAGCATTTGCAAACATAAGTCTAACTGGAAACACTGTTGCTCAGCGAGTAAAAGATATGGCTAAGAACCTACAGTACAAGTTGAGAGAAAAAGTAAAATCATTTGTGACATTTTCTATTGCAGTGGATGAGAGCACATACATAAATATTTAAGCCAGTTAATTGTATTTATCCGGGGTGTTGATGAGAATTTTTACATCACTGAAGAACTTTTGGACATGGTTCCCATGACAGACCCAGCATCTGAAAATGACTTATTTGGGTATGTTGAGAAAAGTCTTGAAAAGTTTAATGTTGGGGCACCTGGGTGGCTCAGTCGTTAGGTGTCTGCCTTCGGCTCAGGTCCTGGGATCGAACCCTGCATCGGGCTCCCTGCTCGGCGGGAAGCCTGCTTCTCCCTCTCCCATTCCCCCTGCTTGTGTTCCCTCTCTCGCTGTCTCTCTCTCTGTCAAATAAAAAAAAAAAGAAAAGTTTAATGTTGACTGGTCCAAACTAGTGCTGCTCCTGCGATGGTCTGTGATAACACGGGGCTTGTTGCAAAACTTAGATCCAAAGTCAAAATGCTTTTCAAGGATGCAGAACTTAAATCTATTCACTGCATTATTCACCAGGAATTGTTTTGTACTAAAAAGTTAAAACTAGAACATGTCATGGATGTAGTGATTAACACAGTGAACAGTGAATTGTATGTCTAACAGGCCGTTCAGTGCTTTTCTGGAGGAACTGGATGCACAATATGGTAATCTTTACCATAAAAGGTAAGGTGGCTTAGTCGTGGCATGGTACTGAAGAGACTTTTTGAATTAATAAAAGAAATAGATTTGTTCATGTCTTCCAAGAGCAAACCCCTTCCCCAGCTCACCAGTGAAGTTTGGATCAGACACCTGGCCTTTTTGGTTGACATTACAAACCATCTAAACACTTTGATTATTTCTCTGCAAAGACATTCACAAGTGGTGACACAAATGTATGATTCAGTTTGCTCTTTCCTAGCAAAATTGAGTCTTTGGGAAACTCATTTGTCTGTAAATAATCTGGCACACTTTCCTACACTGAAATCAGTGTCAAGAAATGAAAGTGATGGCTTAATCTACAATCCCCAAAATTGTGGAGTTGAAGATTGAATTTCAGAAAAGGTTCTTTGATTTCAAACATTATGAAAACGAGCTCATATTGTTTAACTCCCCTTTCTCAGTTAACATTGACAGTGTTAATGAAGAATTACAAATGGAAGTTACTGAACTGCAGTGTAATATGGTATTAAAAACTAAATACGATGCCATTAGAATACCAGAATTCTACAAATACCTCAGCAAGAGTTACCCCAGATATAGAAACCATTGTGCAAAGATTCTGTCCATGTTTGGAAGCACTTATGTCTGTGAACAGCTGTTTTCTGTTACGAAATTGAGTAAAACTAAATTTCGCTCCCAATTAAAGGATACAAGATTACATTCAGTTCTACACATTGCAACTGGAAATATGAGACCAGACATTGACATGTTGGTGCAGAAAAAAAGGTGTCAGGTTTCTGGTTCCAAGTCAAAGGAATAACAGATTATGAACAAAAATTTTAATAATTAAAGATTTCTATTTTTCAATGTGTATTTTTAAATTTTTCTTTCAAATATCCAGTATCATAAATTTTATATGTGGGCGCCTGTGTGGCTCAGTTGATTAAGCGGCTGCCTTCAGCTCAGGTCATGATCCCGGGGTCCTGGGATCGAGCCCCACGTCGGGTTCCCTGCTCAGCGGGAAGCCTGCTTCTCCCTCTCCCACTCCCCCTGCTTGTGTTCCCTCTCTCACTGTCTCTCTCTCTCTCAAATAAATAAAATCTTAAAAAAAAAAAAATTTTATATGTTACGTGCATGCACTGTGGTTCAATTAAAAAAAAAAAGTTTCAGGGGTTTTTTTCTTCCTTGGCATTTGATTTTTCATATACTAGCCTATTGTACTTGCTTCTGTGAGTAAACTTGGCTACCCAACTTTATAGTTTGAGACTTCTGCCTAATGGAGCTGATTACCATAATTAGTTTTTGTTTTCCTACGTGCCTCAAAGAACTGTCACTTGCTGTCTTGAGCAAAATGCCTGAGCTGTAGAATTTCTGTGGATAATACCTGAGCGAGGTTGTGCTAGTTATCAATTTATTGCTTTTCAGCTCCAAATTCATTCTTCCTTGTCTGCTCTCTAAAAATGGATCTGGGCCCTTTAAATATCTTGCCTTTGACAGTAGGCTCGGTGTGAAGCTTTGTCAGTGGAGGGCACTGGAGACACATCGCAGAAGGAAGGAGTTTTCCTTCCTGGGTTGGTCACGTGGCCTGCCCCTGCAGTGCCCAGCAGGCAGCAGCACCCCGAGCCAGCAGCTCTCCCTGGCTTACCCCGACAGGCCGTCTTATAATGAAATCTTTCTGCTGAGACACTTCCCCATGAACAGTTTTCCCCAGTACCTGAAAGGGGAGATTTCCAGCAAATTCTGCCAGTGTATCACTGCAACAGTTTCTCTGTATTTACTCTGTAAATCTGAACCATGCCCTATCCAACATGGGCTGGTTTTCAGCCCTTCTGTTGGGAGCCTCTTTCTTGGGCATCTACCTCAGCTCCTGAGCTAGTGGCTGCTTCTTATACATGGTACTTCTTTAGAATTCTTGCTAGACAGTTAATAATTTTTATATTAAATCACTGTTTAAATTCTTGCGTGGTTTCTTCTGATTGGACCCTGACTGATACAGGCCCTATTTCTTATTTCCCCAGGCCCTATTTCTTTCTTCCCCCAAAATAAGCATATTTGGATTCTGGGCAACAAAGAGGACAAATATCCAGATACACAGGCCTTTGCCTTTCCCTGGGTTAGCAAGTCACTTAATGGAAAAGAGAGAGATCTGGGACCCATAGCGCTTAATTAGTCATATAGACTGATATTATGTGTATAATAATGGGTTGTAACTCATCACTGTTGTACTTCAACTATAACCTAACTTGATAACAGAAAAAAATGACTGGGCCAATTCAACAAATATTTGTCAACAACACATCGGGTGCGAGGTCCTGCTCTGAGAGCAGGCCGGTTCTGTCATTTGTTCATTCCGTGACCTTGAGCTGGTCACCTTGTCCCTCTGAGCTTCACCTTCTTCACCCATGAAATGAGGCTATTACCACATGTATTAGTTATCTGTTATGGCATTAAAGTCACCTCAAAGTGTAGTGGCTTAAAATAACAAATATTTATTATTTCACTAGTTTCTCTAGGTCAGGAATCTGAGAGAGGCTTATTGGGTGGTTTCAGCTCGGTGTCTCTTACGAGGTTGCAGTCAAATTGCCAGGTGTACCTGCAGGCATCTGAAGGCTTTTGTGGGTCTAGCGGATCCCCATCTCTCATGACTTCTCCAGGAACGCCAGCTACCATGTTGTCAGAAGGCCCATGGAGAGGCCCATGTGGTTGCAGCCCGTGTCTGCTGAGGCTGAAGTCAACCTGAAGCCTCACCTGGGCTGCATGTTCATGATGGCCCTTTCACAGGGCAGCCAGTTAATAACAGAATCTGACACTGTCCATGTTTCCCTCCCCTGACATTTCCTTTGCTTTTCTCTCATCACACTGGCGTCTCTCTTAGCCTCCTTTATGGTTCTTGTTCACCTCCCAAATTCTAAACGTTGAAGCTCCTCAGGGTTCTGCACTTCTCCATTTATATTTCTTCCGTTGGCGCACAATCCCTTGGTCTTCTGGCTTTAAATTAATATGCTGCTAACTCCCAAATTTTTACCTCCAGCCAGACCCCTCTTTCCTAACTCCAAAATGGAGGTGCTGGTCTTTCCTCAAAATCTACTCCTACTGGGGCGCCTGGGTGGCTCAGTTGGTTAAGCGACTGCCTTCGGCTCAGGTCATGATCCTGGAGTCCCAGGATCGAGTCCCACATCAGGCTCCCTGCTCAGCGGGGAGTCTGCTTCTCCCTCTGATCCTCTTCCCTCTCATGCTCTCTGTTTCTCATTCTTTCTCTCTCAAATAAATAAATAAAAATTAAAAAAAAAATCTACTCCTACCGCAGTTGGGGGCAACTCTGTCATTCTGCTGCTCGGGCTGGAAACCTTGGAGCTTTCCTTGGCTTTTTCTTCCCCATAGCCAATAGCCGTTGAAAATTGCCCACTGGGTTTAGAGACTGGAATCCCTGGTGACACTGGGGAGAGACCTTTGATGACATGATTGGGGGCACATCAAATATGACAATCCCCAAAACCATTAGACCATTTATCCAAGAGGCACTGAGTGTGCCACAGCTGTTGGTGAGAGTGTGTTGCTGGGATTGGACAGGTGGGCAGGGTACTCCCTAACCAGCAGCTAGCCTCCCACACCCCACAAAGAGCCCTGAAGGCCTCTGCGCAGTTAAAATCAATAGCCTAAGATGGAAGAACATAGCTCCTGGAATCCCCACCTCAGAGCTCACTGATTTCTGTTTTATATACATTGGTATCACGGGGAGTCTGATTTCTAGGATCAAAGCCACTAAAACAAGAAGTTACCATGGTGTAGCAGGACTGCTGCAGGTGGGCAGTTGGCTGCCTGACCCAAAAGAGGGAAACAGGAAAATTATTTAAAAACAGAGTTTAAGGGGCACCTAGGTGACTCAGTCGATTAAGCGTCCAACTCTTGATTCCGGCTCAGGTCATGATCTCAGGGTCATGAGATCAAGCCCCGTGTCTGGCACCCCGCTGGGTATGGAGCCTGCTTAAGATTCTCTCTTTCCCCCCTCCCTCTGCTACACACCCCTGCTCACATGCATGCACGCTCGCTCTCAAAACAAAAACAAAACCAGAGTTCAAAAGGCACAGCTGCAGTCAGCCTTAGTATAGGACAGGCCACCTGGTACATTTCACCAGTTGGTAATGAGGTCCAATGCAAAGAGGCCACAAACACCCTAGGGAAGATCTGGCCTGTCTCTTGCCTTTGTCACAGCTTCACTGTGTGACCTCCAGCGACTCACTGGACTTGTCCTCATTCTTTTAGTCTGCAAATTGGAAATACTAACCTCTGCCCTGCCTTTTAATTGGGAAAAAATATGAAAAATAGATTTTCATATAGATTTATTGCAGCATAAATACAGAGGTTATTATAAGATACTGAACAAGATATAGTCTGAGAAAATGGAAATAGCCTAATGTTTATTGATCACCTTTTTAAAAAAGATTTATTTATTTTAGAGAGCATGCAAGCAGAGGGAGAGGGAGAGAGAGAAAAATCTCAAGCAGACAACCCGCTGAGCAGGGAGCCG